CAGGATGGGTACGACCAATCGGTGGACAGGCCGTCCTTCGAAGAAGCTCCGGTAGGATCCCGCCTTCTTCCAGGGTTGGCAGTTTGTCATGTGTTCTTCTCGATCGGCGTGCTGTATAGGTGTCCTTTATGCTCTGGAACATAGTCTAAGTTACCAGTTACAATAAACAGGCACACAGTCAACAGTTTGCTTTCCTTATTCGCGCAACGGCGACGAAGTTCCAGGATCAAGGGTCCGGTCTCAGGGAGCCCTCTATGGTGCAAGGGATGCGCCTGAATAAGTGGCTTTTGGATGAGGGAGGGGAGCATGGCACTAGGCCGCCAGGGGGCAAGGATCATGAGAAGCACCCAAAAACCTTTCCAACCTGAAAACTATCATGGTTCACATACAGACCTGAGTGAGCAGTAGGCAGCCAGACAGCAGAGTTCTGATGTGGATCTGGGTTCGTTGTCAGCCGACCAGCTGCAGACTCCAGACCGACAAGAGCTCCTTCAGGCCTTAAAGCCTTAAAGGGAACTCCAGAAAGTTGGAATATGGTTTCAGGGTAGGATACCTTGTAATTTACCATAAAGGGTTTAGGATAATCATATTCCAACTTTCTGGCTTTTACTTTAAACACAACCGTACACTCACACCCGAACACGTCCGGAGTGTTCCTCGTCCCTACTGTACATTCCCAAGCACCCCGTCCCTAAACGCGAAGTTCATTTACACAAGCATTCAGCTGCTGCCCAGCCCTCTCTGGCGCCAAAGATCGATCTCGGGCAACGGCCGCCATGGCTCAGGCGGGTTTGGGCGGGGACTTAGTACATGTGATTAAAGGCAGCTGGGGTAACTTCTTATATTAGTTGTGTATACTCATAACGAAAGTTAAGATACCTCTAACCCTACTCGCCGAGTCCATTGATTCTGCAAGGAGGGTTCCGGGGATGGGGGTTCACGCGCTTCAGGGTTTGGGCTCTTGGGTACGGGGACGAGTGCTTCATGATGTTCCTTTCAACTCTCCTAGTCCGACTTAGCTGTTGAAGGCACGTGCTACTTGTAGCAACAAGGGACAAGTTATTGTCGTCTTGGTGCAGTGTTTGTGTCGTGTGAGCCACCCAGCTCCAAGCTGCTTCTGTTCTGCTGCAGCCTGGGGTAGGAGATGTCGCCTCTACTGCATTGCATAGACTCGTCGTGCTCTAATATCTATCAGTCCTCGCCATTTGCTGCAGGCTTCGCCCTGTCGCCCTTGGGTAGGATCGCTAAGAGCGTCCTTTTTCTGTGTCCCACGGAACGAAGCCCTTCGTATGTGCCCTGCTGAAACGGCTGCGTGGATGCTCGGGGCATGACCCTCCGGACAGTTTCCTTGCAGCTATCCACGTAAGAAGATGTTTGTGATACAGAAAACTCTCAAACAGATGTCAGAGCCAACACTGTAGATTGCGATTCTAGGGTTCCGTCAGTCCACCACAGCGCTGTGAGAAACTACACGACAGACATCGTCAAGAAGTAGCACATAAAGCTCGAAACCCTAAGCGCGGGAGTAATACGGTTGATGATATAAATCCTGCATGACCCATAATAAGGAATATACCATATCCCCATACTTTGGGGTCCTTAAGGTAATGCAGGATTTATACCATCAACAGTATAACCAACAATCCTACAAGCGTGATTCCCGTGAACCAGATGCGGGAGCTGATCTACAGCTCCGACCCGATACCAGATCTCGTGCGGACCCTACATCTCTGATCCGGCAGGGGGGGGGGGGGGGTTGCAAAGCCGGAGGATGAAAGGTTTAGGGTACATGGGTGGTTGTCAAAATCATGGTCCGTTTTTGGGGTACCTTAGAAATTAGGTGCCGTATTATAATAAGGACCCCAAAGCAAGGCCTACTATTGACAACCACCCACATGGGGTCTAGGGTTTTGTATGCAAGTAGGTCCTACGAGCTCCGAAGCCACATCGACGGTAAGCAGCACGCACCTGGTTGAACTCTGTTCTTATACCTCGTTCTGGTTGGGTCGACCCCTCAAGATTTGTCGTTCTCTTTGTTTTTCTCTGGGCTGGGGGCTTGCGGGTTAACGAGTCCATGGCCCTGACGATGATGACGATAATCATGGTGCTGATGATGGTGGTGTGATCATGATCATGATGCTCATGATGGTGATAAAGCTTGAAGCAAAATGCTAGCCCTACACTGCCCTGCAGGCCATGCAGCTTCTGCTAGCATTTCAAGCTCCAACCCTGCGGGGCAGTTACCACTTATACTTTATACAACTGTTTAGCCCAATGCCCCATGGGGTAGTCGCGGCTTGGAACCCCAAAACTTTGAGCCAAGAGGCGTCAACCCCAAGATTCTCAAAAGCTCTTAAACTAAGCCTCCCAAATCCTAAAGAACTGAAGCACTACGCCCTAAGCCCCAAACGCAACACGAAGCCAAGCAGAACTGCAACCCAAAGGCACCCCCAAACAGACCCCAGGCTTGCTACGACCTTGGCATCATGGAGGTGGAGGTGTCATCTTCTCGCGCGAAGGCGCCATGCTGGGGGGATACAGTTTAAGTTTCAACTAGCAGAGTTTAGGGTTTAGGCGGTTTAGGGTTTAGGGTTTAGGGTTAGGGATACAGGGTTTAGGTATAGGTCTTGGGGCTTAGTGCTTCCGGGACACTGAAACCCCATGCTTGGGGTCAAGCAGGGCCAGGGCGAGCGTAAACCTGCCCAGTCAAAGATCCCAAAGCCATGCTCCAATCATGACCCCCCCTATTGGCAGGTCGATCATTGCCTGAGGGCTTCGAACACGATCGCAGCCGGTTTCAAGATCCAAAGTCCGGACTAGGGCGTTTTAGGGCTGAAGGTTTCTAGGGTTAAGGCCTAAGGGTTTCTTTGAGGGCTGCTTTAGGCGTTAGACCCTTTCGGGTCGGAGGGTCAGAGGTTTAGTAGTGCAGGGAATTGGTGTTTCAAGCTTTACTTATGAGGATTGACGGCGTGGGCTTCGTGTTGCGCAATGGCGTTTAAGGTTCGTGGGGTCAAGGGTTTAGGGACTAAGGCTTGAGCGCTTCATGAATTTGGGCTTTAGAGTATGAGGCTCATTGGGTTATGTAAGGGTTTAGGGGTGAAAGGGCATCAGGGTGTAAAGCTTATGGGGTTAACGGCTAAGGGTTCAGGGAGTGGCCACTCGGGTTTCAGAGCTAGCCGATCCCCTTGAGTTTGCAAGCCGAAGCTGAGGAAACCCAATTCCAGCAGCCCCAAGACCTTAGCCCGAAAATTTTTCTTGGATGGGGCAGCAGAGAGTTGGCTTTAGCACTCAAAGTCCACATGCCTCGAGAATCTTGGCCCGGAGCGCCCTTTACTACCGGGCGGATCGCAGAGGGCCCTAAACGCTAAACCCTACCTTAACCCTGAATAACCTACCTTTTTAGGGTTCCTTATTATGATTTCCTTATAAATAAGTCCTTAAAAAGGATAAGTCCTTAAAAAGGTAGGTCCTTCAGGGCTAAGGTAAACATTGTTTTCAATCCAGCAGCCACGCCGCCCTGCGAAGCAGACGGAGGCTGTCTCAGGCTCTTAAGCCACTCCAGCCACGGTCACTGCATCCCAAGCAAAAGCCCCAAGGACATCCCACGATTTCGTTTTTTCAATTCCGAGCCCAGTCGAGAGGAATAGTAGCCAGCGCAATCGTCACGAACTGAGATTTGCAACTCCGGTCACGGAAACCTTGTGGGCCCTATTGCTTGTTGGCTGTCTGCATGTCATGAAGTCGTTTGGGGTTTCTTCTCCGTTGACGGTTTGCGGTATTCCGATTGGGTACTTTGTCAATGAAGCACATGGGCGCTATACCGACTGAAAGCCCACGGTAGGCTTTGCGAGAATGTACTGTTCAAGGTTCCCCGGACGTGCAGTCCACGCTGGATCCTGCATCCATACGTTCAATGCATGTCATGTTTTCTTCGATGATCCGAAGCAGCACTGCATGCTTAAACCGCCTTCGGGCACTGCACGGACCGTGGCCGGATCGTTTGCTCTGGAGCATCGGGCCTCGTAATTAACTTGTACTTCGTATCCGGCTGGGTCTGGTACAGCAAACAGTACTTGAAGTTACCATGCGCTTGCATGGGTCTTTGTACGGTGCATGTCTGTTCAGGCAAGGAAATCATCAGACCTCACGGTGTACGGCTGCGGGTTCAAAAGCAAATCAAGGTCGAAGTGGCAAGAGTCCCGTCGCAGCTGGAGAACGGCAAAGCCGTGCCAGTCAGAATGACAGTTCGACACGATGTTTCATAGATGGAGAGCTCATATAAGCAAACAGATCCGATCAGTTTTCTTTTGCTCTGCGATCACAAGCTTGGAGCCTTCACGATCTTCGCCCTTTTGATGGTCTGTACTACCCTCAATGTTTGCGGTTTGCGACTGTAGGATTCAGTGTTTAGGGTTCCGGGCTTAGGCTAATTAGACGTGTGCAACAGGGAACTTGTGTTTTTCGCAGTACCTTTCGCGGCAGAGTTTCTACATAACCAGCAGCCATGGGATTTGGGGTTTTCTTGCAGCTTCGGGTGCAGCTGGGCTGTTGGGTGTGGGAAGTGCTGCCCTGAATCTTGGCATACCTGAAGTGCCAAGCCCCAAACCCCTAAACCCCTAAACCCTAAACCCGAATCCCTAAACCCTAAACCCTAAACCCTAAACCCTAACCGGAACCCTGAACCTTCCTGAAGCCCTGGGCCCCACACCCGAAATCCTCCGGACTCCCTAAACCTGGAACCCAAAACCCTCCTTAAACCCTCAGCCCCAAACCCCACACCCCAACACTTCAGGTTGTAGGGTTTCCCGGGACCCCAGACGACAGACCTTTTTAAGGACATATATGTGAAAATAATAGTAAGGAGCCCTAAAAAGGTAGGTTCTTTAGGGTCTAGGCAGGGTTTACCCGGGTTCATCTCTCTGGCGGCCGTGGATCTGGCTCGAAGGGACGCAGCCTCTCGGCCAACTTCTTGAGATTCCCCAAAGACAAGCGTGCAAAGCATGGCGGAGGGCGAGGAGTGCCTGTTTCGGGTTTCCGGTTTGGGGGTTTAGGGTTTAGGATTAATAGGAGAGCCTTAGCAACAATCGGTATGGTTTTTTAGGTTTAGGGTGCATCACGTGTTTGGTGGATACTATAGCAAACTGTGCAACTGGTATTTGAAAATCTGGCTCTGGTTCAGGTGTCTAGGTTTTAGAGCAGCTGGGGAAGTAGCATTATAGATGGGTTCCGGCTGCGTGGCTTTGCTAAAATAGACCCTCTGTTAAATACGGTGGATCTTTGCTAGCTGAAGAACTTCTGGGGCTCGTCTGCCGTGTAATGGATCAACTTGGAACTGATGATGTTCTACGAGTAAGTGAGGCCCAGTCCGGCCCCCTCCCGGCCGAAGTGCGAGTGAGGATTCCCCATGCACGCACAATTGCATACATGCATACATACATGCATAGGTACATCCATGCATAGAACACATTGCATTACATTGCATACACTACAGTACATGCGGGTGGTTGTCAAAAGTATGGTCTTATTAGAATACGGTACGCAATAATATTTAGGGTACCCAAAAAGGGACCATAATTTTGACAACCACCCATACATCACATATATACATACCTGCATACATGCGTCCGGAGAAGAAATCGCTCGACTGGGCCTGGTCATGCTGAATTCTGGAAACATCCTTCTGTGATACTTAACCATTACGAACACTCATGGATTTACGGCAGAATACGTTCGGCTCTGAAAGTCTCTGACTTGGGGTGCCTGCCGCCTTTAAACCTTGAAGCCTGGAGCACTCGTACAAGAAAGCTTTTTTGTTTTATAAAACTCAGCAGAAGCCTTTATAATAAATCCGCCAAGTGAGACGTGTAACTAAGCCGAAGTTTCTGCAGACCATGGGCTACGACAATCTTTGGTAGCTTTTGGCAAAGTCTGGCAATGGAGGAGGGCCTTACAGCTGTTATCGAAAATGCCGGCATCAACTCTTCACTGCGGTGCGAAGCAAAACCACCCAAATCTCACAAAATCCTTCAATTCAGGAGTTATACCGTAAATTTCTATACAGAACATTCAGCCAATGCCCCGGAACCACAGGGTGCAGGGTGTAGGGCTAGGCCCCGGATCCTTAAACCTAAAGCCCTTCAGGGCTTGGGGCTGGGGTTTAGGGCTTTCGGTTTTTGGTTTTGGGTATTGGTTCAAGGTTGTTTAAGGATTTGGTCTAGGGTCTATGTTAAAACCCTTCAAAGAATTTACGAAGCACGATAGACAATTTGTGGAGGCACAAAAGAAGCTGCTCAGGATGGGACTGCACATCCCAGATAAACCCCGCCCCTCGCCCCAAAACTCAACCACACGGTTTAGGGCGTTTAGGGCTTTTCCAAGCATGCTTTTGGGCCGCATCGTGCACAGGAAGCTGGCCCCTTGCCTGCCTGCCCAGACGGCCACAGCTTGGAACCCGACGAGCGACCTGACCACTTCTGCGACAGCTGCGACAAGCATGGCACGCATTACAGCTGCCCCAAAGACTGTGACTATGACCTGTGCAAGTACTGCTTTGCACACCTTCAGCAGCACCCTCCGCCTGAACAACGGGCGCGCCTGAAGAGGGAGGATGCAGAACTGTCTGCATACTTCGGTGGCCCTTACTTCGAGGGTGCTGTCTTGCAAAGCAAGCAGTACGAGGCAAGCAAGGTGCACAACGTGTACAGTTTCAGATACAATGCTCCAGACGGCTACGTGCACGTCTGGAGGCATGTATTCGACCTGCGCGAGTTGAACTCGGCTAGCAGAAGCAAACAGGAAGATGCCGTTGTTTTGTATCATTACACCAATGAACTGACCTTCTTAAATGTGGGCGACATGCAGCTTACTGCTGCCAAACTCCTCGCTTCCCTGGTGGACAGTCGCGCTCATTTTGGAAAAGGGATCTATGTGACACAGCATGAGCCGGCTGTATGGGGCAGACGCATGAGGGTTCTGCTGAACAACTACAGCAATGGAAGCCCCCTGCGCGCTGATCTTGAAGATGCTGACAGTCAGGAAGTGCTGCGAACTTGGAGCGGCCGATCCGGCCACTGCATCCCCCTGGTGGTGCCGGCTGGGCTGGCTTACAACATTTTCGAGCGGCAGACGCCCGACATGCAAGAAAAGCGCTTGGAATGCGATGGCGGACGGCCGATTGCCCTTGGGGAAGACTACAAGGGCCGAGCCGTGGATCGCAACCGAGATGTGTGGGTGATCCGTATCACTGATCAAACTGGTCAGATTCTGAATGCTCTTCATGATGCAGAGGCCTTTGTCAGTCTTCTGCGAACGCGCCTTGAGAAATTGCGCCTTCAAAGCAATGGTGAGGGCATCGCAACGTGCATTATGGAGCTGGCGCAGCGGTTGGCTGCGCGAGGTCAGCATGAAGAGTCCGAAGATTTGTACCGGGAGTGCCTTGAACTGCGTCGTAAGCAGTTTGGCGACATGAATCCAAACACGCTTACAAGCATGAACAACTTGGCTGAGCTTTTGAAAGCCCAAGGGAAGTTTGAAGAGGCCGAGTCCTTGCATCGAGAGTCACTCGCTGGATGGCGCACTCATGGCAATGCTCCCAACACCTTGGCAAGCATCGGCAACCTCGCTGAGCTTCTGAGGGTACAAGGGAGGCACGAGGAGGCAGAGCCCTTGCAGCGAGAAGCGTTAATTGGAAGTCGAAAGCAGTTTGGTCAGATGCATCCGAACACACTCAGAAACATGCACAAAATGGCCATGTTGTCGAAAGTGCAAGGGAATCTTCAAGAGGCAGAATCTTTGTTTCGGGAGGCAGAACACGGATGTCGTTTGCAATTCGGTCCTGTTCATCCGGAAACGCTCGCTTGCATCAGTAACTTGGCTGAGCTGCTGCGCACACAGGATAGGCTGGAAGAGTCCGAGCCTCTGCAACGAGTAGCCCTGGATGGAAGTCGCAAGCAGCTTGGCGATACCCATCCAAATACTTTGAGAAGCGTAAACAATCTGGCCATGCTGCTGAAGGCCCAAGGGCGTTGTGATGAGGCAGAGACTTTATTTCGAGAAACTCTGAAGGGACGTCGAGCTCAGATGTCTGACCATCCAGACACCCTGGCAACGATGGAGAACTTGGCTGAGCTCTTACGTGGGCAAGGCAGGCTTGAAGAGGCCGAACCTTTGTTTCGAGAGGCCCTGGGTGGTTGTCGCACCCAGTTCGATGCGGCACACCCACAGAGAGTCACTACTACCAAACACTTAGCTATGCTGCTCGAAGCACGTGGAATGTCTGAGGAGGCTGTGACTTTGCTGCGAGAGGTTGTGGACACTTGGCCAGAAGAGGTTGGCTATGCTGAGCAACTAGGCAGCATCTGCATGGCTTTATTCGCAGCCTTTGACTTTTTCCCCGTGCTTTCGTGTTCTGTCAAATCTTCGCCCAACCCAATCAGAAAAGAGGTAAACATATGTCACTGTCGCCCTTGCTGTTTCATGTTTGCTGGGCCACCCAGGCAAAGTGAAGTGGTCCCATCGTCGCTGTCCCAGCTATTGCTCTGACGGCGTGGACTGGATTCAGCTTTGAAACCTTTGGCAGTCCGTTGAAAAGGTTCGAGATGTGCGTCGATTTTCAGTGCTGCACCGTTTGCATCCTTTTGCTGTCCTTATAATCCGTGCACCCATTGTTAATCATAGCTTTTTCGAACCGCAAGGGTTTGCTTCATGTGTCCGGCAAATATCAGCATGAAAGCAGGAGCAGAGAAGCATGCCACCAAAGAACAGGCCAGAATAGGCCAGCAGATAGGGTCATGCCAGCACAGGCCAGACTGCAGGGGCTTAGAGAAGCCCAGCATTGGTGGCTCAGAGCTCAGTCGCGGTTCGACGATCATGGAAGGACAACGTAGACGTAGGTGGTCTCAGCTTTGGCCGTGAGCAGCGCAAACGATGGAGAGTAGTCTCCGAAGAGTGAGGCTTCCAACTTGGGCGACATCACCCCTTCTGATATATTCTGATCCTCGGTGCTTCTGCTGCTGTCCTTGATGTTGTCGTCCTGGTCGTCGACGTGCTTGATGTGTGGTTGTCATTACTTTGTCGTTGTCGTTGAGATTGTCGTTGTTGTTGTTGGTGGTGGTGGTGGCGGTGGTGGCAGCCGCGGTGGTGGTGGGGTCAGCGGCGGCGGCTGCGGGGGTGTTGACTTTGTTAACATGTGCTGTCCTTAAACACTAAGCCCCAAACCCCACACCCCAACACTTCAGGGTTTAGGGTTTACCCGGGTTCATCTCTCTGGCGGCCGTGGATCTGGCTCGAAGGGACGCAGCCTCTCGGCCAACTTCTTGAGATTCCTCGAAGACAAGCGTGCAAAGCATGGCGGAGGGCGAGGAGTGCCTGTTTCGGGTTTCCGGTTTGGGGTTTAGGGTTTAGGATTAATAGGAGAGCCTTAGCAACAATCGGCATGGTTTTTTTGGGGTTCAGGGTATAGTATACGAATCACGTTTTGGTGGATACTATAGCTCACGGTTCAATTGTTGTTTGAAAATGTGGCTCTGGTTCTAGGGTCTAGATTTTCGAGCAGCTGCGGAGGTAGGGTTTGTTGGGTTGCAGCTGCTGGGCTTTAAGCTTTCCTAATCTAGACCTTCTCTGATATCCAGTGGATCTTTGCTAACTGAAGAACTTCTGGGGCTTGTCTGCTGTGTAGTGGATCAACTTGGATCTGATGATCTTCTGGTTGTGTGAAGAGGAAAGGAGTAGCTTTGTGAGGCCCAGTCTGGCCCGAAGCTTATTCGTAGGGAATGGAAGAATGGCAGCAATAGTAGGTATATGGTAGGTATATGGTTGTTTTATATATATATATATATATATATATATGGTAGTTATATGGCAGTAATAGTAGTTATAGTTGTACCCCATTCCTCCATTCCCTACTAGCCAAAGGTAAGGAAGTGCCCGAAGTGAGGATGCCCCCAAGAAGCGCACCTTCAAGAAGTACTCCTACCGCCGATGCCTGAGGAGTTTTCGGCCGGGCTGTCTGTCGTTGTTGTTAACACCAACAGAGCGATCCCCGCGGAAGTTTCGGCGAGTTTTGTTATCGCTTCTTGTAAGGAGCTGTTGTTGTTCAACATTCATGTCTGGTCAGCGATTAGATTTCGGGGAGGTCGTTTCCCACCTCGTGGAGCAAGGGATGTTTTTTTCAATGAGCGTTCCTGGTCTGTTTCTTTTGCAGCAATGTCGGCTTTGCTGCTTCAGTGCAACTTCTGCAGCACCAAGTTTTGCCGGCCTCCTGTTGAAGTCGATTCGCTGACTGCTAGCTTCTTTGAACCGGAGCTGAGCCTCCCAGCTACATCGGTTGGGTTGCAGGGGGTTGTCGAGTTCAGGATCGATTGAATTTGGGGCCGTTGAAAGTGCTGCTAGGAAGAGGAAGAGCCTCGGATGTCAAAAGCGCTTCCGACCTCAGAGCTCTAAACCCTCTCGCCTAGAGACCCTATAGCCCTCAACACTGTAAGCCTTAAGCCCTAAATCCTCAACCCCCAAGCTCACCGCTTCAACCCAACACTACGCAAGTCCTGCCCAAGGGGGCATCGACCTGGACAAGCTGCTGGACATGAGCAACCAGGATCCTTGCTGGAGCTTTCAGAAGCCCACGATTTAGGGTGTTTGGTTCAGGGTTCAGGGTGTAGGGTTTAGGGTGCCCAACATCCGGAATAGGGTGGAGGGTGGGGAAGAGGCGGTGACTCGTTTGTCAGGTTGACAGGCTTCTTCCGCGCCGCCAGACCAAAGCTGTTGTTGTGACCTGATTCTTATTCTTTGCGGCTCGAAGCATTCCGACAAGCGACTTGTGTGCCGATGTTTTGAAAGAGTCGTACATATCACAGTCGCAAGCTGCTTACGCTGATGTCAGTGGATACGGAACTTCAGATCAGTGTCGATGATGATTGGGTTCCTGACGAACGTGTGGTTCAGCATGACGACAGGGGCCATGAAGACAAGGACACTTCGCAAGCAGATGGGTCGGATGCAGATTTTGGGCAGATCGAGATGATGCAGGATGCCGTGGCTGACTTCATTAGCCAACTCAAGCTCACAAGTTCCGACATGTTGCGGACGACGGCGGCACATCGACCACTGTGGCGCTTTGGGCGGCCGCTACGCGATGGGCGATATTCGCGGCAGCTGTACGGATGGAGCGGTGTGACAGGGCGGGTCGCGCAGTTTTGGAGCCACTCTTGGCATGGATCGGTTGTGGCGAAAGTACTGTTGCTGCTGGTCATGTACAATGGCTTGCCGGCTGTTTTGGTCGGGAGCACATCTGTGGCAATCACATTGCTACTGCAGCATGCATGTTTGCTTCCATGCAGCATCGAACGGAACGGACAATCAGCCATTGCCGTTGGTGTCGGTTTGCTGACCAGTTCTTTGACCTTCGCCCTTTGGCGGTCCGGACATCGGGTCTTCTTGGACAGGATCTGCATCCACCAGACAGATGAGAAGTTGAAAATGATGGGTCTGCTGAATGTCGGGGCAGTGTTGAAGAATTCAGATTCCCTGGTCGTTTGCTTAGATGATACCTATATCCGGAGGCTCTGGTGCATGCTAGAAACTGGGCTTTGGAGTACCATACTTTAATACGTTTTTCATAATAATTATGAAATAAACATGTATACGTTTTTCTCCCTGGTTGCTGAAAAGCCCAGGAAGTCTCTGCATTTCTGAAAAGTAATGGCCAGGATGGGATCAACATCAAACCCACCAGCTGGGGTGTGAGTATCGTTATCCTATTCTTGTCAGGAAGCGGCATCATGCTCGGTGCATCGGTCGTGGGTGCGATTCTCAAGCAGTCGGCTGGCGTGACCACTATTCTGGGTGATGGACAGCGGATGGGCTTCTTGCTTTGGGCGATACTCGGCAGCACATTCGTGCCTGGTTCCTTGATCACCTTGTCGTTGGTAAGCCGGTCCTTGCGTGCGCACTTCCGAGCGGTCGATCGCATTGTCAAACAGCTGGAAACGTTCTCCATCAAGGACGACACCGTCTCCCATTGCTGCACTGTGAACCACCTCGACCGCCAAACCGGCAAGAAGATTCCATGTGATCGCATGATTCTTGAAAAATGCCCTGGTGTTGTGGTTCGGCTCGGTGCAAGCGTTCAACGAATTCATTCAGAACGAGCTGTCAGAGGTTTTCAAGAAGCTCACAGCCAGCACAGTGCCCTACTCTTGGATTGTGGCTGCCGGCAGCCCTCTCCTTTGGTTTCATGCCGGGACTGCAGCTTATCATCTGCGGACAGAGAATTACGAGGCCGCAGCGAGGCTTGTATTCTACGTTCCATCCTGGTGGCTGGCGATTGGCCCAACATACCTCCAACTTTTTGTGTGTCTCCTTCGCCGCGTTCGTCGACAGCGCCAAAGTGCTTGCCAGGAGGTGCTGATCAATCTCGGATGCTCCATGTACGCCGCGTTCATTTACTTCGCCGTTGCTTCGTTTGAAGGTTTCTGGTATACCAGGTTTGGAACGGATGTGCCCTCGATGGCAGCATTTTCGGTGGTTGTGATGACGATCTGCGCTCTTATCCGGTCTGCATGCTGCATGCCATGCAGGCCTAAGCGCGGCGCAACGGAACATGGTCGATGATGTGATGCAGGCCACCCGTCGTGACAGTTGTGTTCTTCAGGTGAGCGCACTGCTAATCATAGACCCATGGATGTACAGCTTCAGGTTCAATCGCAGGCCATCGAGAGAATACCCGGCATGCACGCATCTTCCAGCACCGGGTAGATGGTTTGTAATTAAATGAACAGTTGACAAGCCTACGAGACCGAGTGAACGGGCATAATGATGCTCAAGTTCAAACAACGTTTCACCCAGCCCAAAGTTGTAAATTTTGGGCAATAGGCCGAATGGTCGATGATTGATGTTTTGGCTTTCGGCTTCAAGGTGAGCCGTGCAGGATTACCACAACATCCCGAAGTTCAGCAGCCCCTTCGATTTGCATTGCGATGTACTTCCGGCCGCACGCATGGCAAGTCAGAGAGAAAGTTCATGCAAGCAGCTGCATTGCAACGAACCTGCAGATTTCCGGAAGCCGAAATCTCAACAGCGAAGGCCCAGCCTCAAACTGCTCTCAAAGAGGACCTCATGGAGCTTTTCTGCGCCCGGCAGCGACGAAAGTTCTCTCGCGGAATCAAGCGCAAGTGCGGTGCCTCAGTGGGTTGCGCTTGGCTTCTTCAGTGGCCAAGAAAGAGCTGCCCTTTTTCGAGTGCTGTGATCCAAGCCTGGAATTCTTGCAGTCTCAAGACACTTGCCCTCGAATTCAAACGGTGCACGCCCCACAGAATGCTGAATCAAGGCCCAAATATAGTGGCCGTTATACTAGTTTTCACTGAAAATATGGAGCCCACAAAACCTTATAAGCACGATGCTGGAGGAGCGAGACATCATTGCTGATGCCGCTTTTTGCGTGGGTCTCTGTTGTAGAACATTGTGTGGATTCATTATTTAACTAACTATAAAAGGCGAAGTTCAGCTGCTGGAGACCTCAAGCTTTGATCCAAAGCTGCCCGTCCAGGCATTGCAGTAGTATGGCCACTGCAGGACTAGCTGTGCGCTTGAAGCTTTGAGTGCCTCCAAGGATGACAGGACGAGTACAGACAGCATAGCCGGTGTAACAAGAAGAAGCCCCAAAGCCTGAAATAGGTGGTTGTCAAAAGTTATTATCCTTTTCTGGGTCCCTATTATAGTACGGCACCTGTTATGTAGGGTAGCCAACGAGGGACCATAATTTTGACAACTACCCAAATCGTAAACCCTGAATCGAAGCTTAAACCCTACACCCTAAACCTTGAACCTACCCTATGCTGCAACAAGGCCACATACGGTTGATGATAATAAATCCTGCATTACATTAAGGACCCTAAACTGTGGCAATAATGGTACATTCCTTATTATGGGTAATGCAGGATTTATACCAGCAACAGTTGGGGCCTCGACACTCGGGTCGGAATAAGCACTGATAGTATCCCGCCGCACAGTTCCTATTATAGTGATCGTATGATACCCCCGAGAACCCAGTTCTACTTTATTAAGGCCCTGAGAATATAGAGGCCTATGTGCTTACCAACACTGTTTGGGTGGTTCCTGATAATGGCTATAGCCTACTCTAAGTATTAAGGCCCCTATATCAGGAGTTTTGGGTGTTTGGGTTGATGTCTCCCAAAACCCATTACTACGTTCTTAAAACCCTGAACCCTGGCCCCCAAACCCTGACACTTCTCCTTAAACCCTAAACCTAAACCCCTATACCCTGACCTTTAAACCCTAAACCCCGAACCCTGAAACTTCTCTTAGCCCGAAACCTGGTCCGAGGCCGATCACTGTGCTGAAGAAACTCCGAAAGGCAACCGGTGTGCCACAGAGCGTTACAAAAGGGGCCTAAATCATTTTGGGGGCTCCTCGTTAGAATATAGTATAGTGGGTCCGAAAACCTAAGCATAAAGGCCCCTGAAATAGGGAGTTTGGGGCTTTGGTGGTTTTGGGGCTAGGGGTTTTAAGGTTTTGGGTTCAGGGGCTTGGGGGGTTTGGTGGTGTTGGGTGGTGTACGGGCTTGCGCGCTCAGGGTGTTGGTTTTGGTCTGGCAGCTGGCTGGCTAGCATTTTAGATACCTTCACAGCACCCTGTGGTAGCACTTAGGGGCTCCGGGAAGTTTAGACTGAAGCTTAATGGCTTCTTTCTACTTCTGGGACCTCCAGGCGGCGAGCAACAACTGATTGAACGTTCGACCAACTGCCTGAAGCCAACAACCCTAAATCTTAAATCTTAAACCCATTAGACCCTGAACCCTAAAACCCTAAACGCCCAAGCGGACGTCCAGGCCAAGCGCGAGACCGCCTATGGTGAGAAGCCCGAGGCAGGAGTTGCTTCTAAGTCAACCTTGAAGTCAGGAATCCCCCAAACGCTCTGCCCTCAACCCCGGCCCGCTTTTTCGAAACAAGCTTTAGGGTTTTCTGGGATGTCATATCCGGAGGCTGCGATCTGCAGGGAGTACTACTTTAGGGCGGAGGGAATCAGGGAGGGGTATTTGGCATTGGAGGTTTACGAACTGCGAGATGGCGTAGGGATCCTCGGGGTTCCCGGATTTTCGGGGTTTCAGGTCGGGAAGTTTGGTGCGAAGCCCACTTGTAAGTGAAGCATCAGCCTGTCTCTTTTTAGCCGTCAAATATCCTAAGGTCGTAAACGTAAACCCTTGACTAAAGCCTGGTTGCCTCTTTGAGGCCGTGAAGACCCATCTGCGGAACATGGTCATCGTGCATCCCGGCTGAAGGAACTCAGATGGCGGAAACGCCTCAGTGCTTTAGGGCGTTCCCGAGACTTCTAAGCCAGAGCTGGAATCTTTTAAAAGTAACATGAAGATCGAAGCTTTGGTGACCATCCCAGGCTTGGGGTTCTAGGGTTTTCGGGTTTAGGCTCTAGTGAAATCCCGATGTAAGGTTTGGGAACTCGTTTCTCTTGGCAAGATGCCCTCATTCTCAGGCCGCCCAGCTAAACCCCAAACCCTGAACCCTCAACCGCAAAACCTAAGCCCTGGTCTTACCGTTGGTTAGTAGGGAATGGAGGAATGGCTTACAATTATACCTACTATTACTACCATTCTTCCATTCCCTACTAACCAACGGTAAGTGTTTACTACATGTCTCCTTCTAGCATGCCACTGCCCATTGCAGTGCATTCGCACAGCCATGAACTTGCAACCCGAATTTCACTAGCGCCAGACGGTCTGGAGCTTGCGGAAGAAGAAAACCCTGATCCCACATGTCGGCTCCATGCCCAAGCCCTATCCCTGGAAGCTTCATGTGGATAGGGATAGTTCTCTAAATTAGGGTCGCCTTTTTTTCAGAAGGGTGCCGTACTATTTGGTGGACTTCAAAAGAGATCCTAATTTAGAGGGCAACTACTTATGCAAGTCTCCCGCGCAAGAAAGGCCGGAGATGATCGGAGCCTTGGCAACGAGTGCAGGATTGGGCATGTCGAAGTTCTGGATCTAGGATTTAGTTATTTTGTGGTGGGGAGATTCGGGATTGACGGATGGAGCGTGTAGAGATGTGGATCTAGGCCTTAAGGAACTCGGGATTAATGTGCGGGGGCTTGAAGATTTTGTGGTTTCAGGAGTTGACTTCAGTTTTGTGTGCCTTGGACATGGTGGTTAAGCCGTGCGACTTAATAGCAGGGCGAGAGGATCTACGTGAGATTTGTGATCCAGGGGTTTTAAGTTTTAAGGGCCGACCAAGTAGAGGGCTGAAGGCAACGGAGAGATACCACTCTCCCCCCAACTCGAAGATGTGCCACAAGTTTCACGTGAACCCTTCAGCGTAGAAGAAGGTACCCTAGTAGTCTAAGTAGGGGTTTGTGGTAGTTGCTGTTTAGCTGCTGTGGGACTACAAAAGCATGTTGCTATCAGTTAAGATCTCCATGCTGGGAGGAACCCAAAACCTCATACCCTCACTGTGCCTTCAGTCTTCTGCAAGCCACAGAAACTCAAGGAACGCACAACAAAGGCTTGATAGTTGCATCGCTGACGGTCACCCGGAGTATACCATGCTTCAGAAGGAGCGTTAGCCTATAGCCTCCGGATCAAGATTCATAAACAGTTGTACCTGAACACGGTACTAGGGAAACTGATTAAGAAACCTTGTCCTCTTAGTTAGGGTCCTTAATATGTATCTTACTGTTTTGGGGTTATAGGGCCAAGGCTTCTGCATCGGGTCGCTACAATACCCTGAACGCTACACATCAAGGCTTTTGGGGGTAAGGGTCACTGCAAAGATGGCCCAGTGCAGAGACATGAACCCAGGCTCCGTGGTCGGCGTCTACAACGGAAAGCAGCAGCTTGGACTTGATTCTTCAGGAATTCTTCAGGGTTCCTTTAAGGGCACCTTTCAGGGTTGATTTCAGGGTGATAGGTTATTACCATCGTTCCTTTTCGGCTTAGTTACTAGAACGGTTGCTTGAATGTGTCGTTCAGGCAGATGGATGCAGGCCTGAGGCTTTGGGGCCCCCAGACCAAGACTGCACGGCTTGAGGTTCAAACCTACACAGTTTTCGTTTTGCCAGCGTCAAGCTCTGAATGTTAGCCCATATGGGAGTTTCCGAAAAGAGGGAACCCCAATATAGTACCCTAAATAGTAGGATCCTTATTCTAAGGACACCCAAACAAGGCACCCCTAATTTTCGGAAACTCCCATACAGGCCCCCGGAGCGCTGAGCTCTGACGCCCTAAGCGTGCTGGATGGGGGTGGCTCGGGAGACTTAGGGCATCGGCTGCAGGGTTGCGGATCCACCCCCAAAAAACACTAGGATGCCCAGTAGTACCCTTATTCCCTTTTTGTAGTCCTAGGTTCCTTATAAAGTTACCCAATATCAAAAAGAGAGGCCTTTTTGTTCTTAGCTTACTGGGTATCCTAGAACATGAGGTTTTAGGGCCTTCGTGCTTTGGGTATTTATAGGGTTTGCCGGGTTTGGGGGGTTCAGGGGCGAGAAGCCCAGGTACATCAACGTTGAGATCAAGCCCGTCCCAGCCTCAGGGGTTTCAAAGGTTGTTCGATCACAAGAAAGGAGCATTGCGGCGCCTTTTTGATGTCTTCTGTGCCTAAACCCTAAACCCCTAAACCCCAAACCCCTAAATCCTAAACCACTAAACCGTAAGCTCCTAAACCCTAAACCCCTAAATCCTAAACCACTAAACCGTAAGCTCCTAAACCCTAAGCCCCTAAGCCCCTAAACTCCTAAACCCCCCGAAACTCGCCCACCACAAAATCGGGCCCTGAGCTTTAGCATGTCATACTTGTAGCCTGCAGCTCAAAGAGCTGAGCCCCAACATGGGGACCTTATTTATAATGATAATAATGGTGTTATTAATCATTATAATTTTAGATAATTATATTAATTATTATAAATTAAGTTCAAAAAAAGTCCATTTTCGGGGTTCCGATTATTAATTATAGTATGGTGGGCCCCTTATTGAGGCCCCTTGTAGTACCCAACTCATGTGAGATACCTTCACGATCATGATCAGAGCTTCTACTGATGGCGCCATGCGATTGTTGTTCTACGAGAGTTTCGCGGTCTATCCGGCCATGATTCTGAGAACGAACGCTTCACAGTCGCCGCCACCACCACGGCCAATCGACATCATCCCCGTCGTCACATGGAGCACCCACCATCGCCAGCGCCATGCGGCACCAGCAGTGCCAACACCATGGTCATGATCTTTGGAGGTCGTTCAGCGCTGGGCAGCTTCTTACAGGCCAACTATCCCCAAGCCCTGCATCTTGGACCCTCAGCCCTAATTACCCTAATCCCCACCCTCAACGCCCCCAAACTTCAACCCAAGTCCTCCACCCTACCCTAAACCCTCAACCCTAAACCCTGAACCTTAAACCCTAAACCCTCAACCCTGCGAAGGGCCTGAGGCCCCAGGCCCTAGCTTCGTCTTGCGTTCCACGATCGCCCAAGATCCTGAAGTTGGGTACTGCCCCCATACAGTAACAGTATGTAACAGTCTATAATAGGGCTACTATTCAGGTCCTAATATATCTTTTTCATGAATATTCTCCAACTGTTATTGAGTGGGGGCAGTACCCAGTCCTGAGGAGATGATCGGCCACTACCTCGGTGAGTTCTCCATCACCTACAAGCCGCCCGACAGCGATTTAGGGTTTTAGGGTTTAGGGTCTAGGGTTCAGGGTTTCTGGCTTTAAGGTAGTCTAGGGTTCAGAGTTTAGCCCTCGGATTTGGGGTTTTAAGGTCTGGGGTAGTTGGCTTTAAGGCTCAGTGGGGGCTTGCGGTAGTGATTATGGTTCTTCAGTCCCCAAACCCTGAACGATCCTGAACCTACGAAAAGGAAAGGGCTCGGTCTTGCCCTTCGAGGCCTTGTTCCTGAAGTGTGTTTCCACGACCAGCCTTGTGAGAAGTAAGATGGTTCTGTTGTAAGGACTTGAAGAAAAATGAGCCGTCCGATGAGAAGCAGAATGCCTTGCTTGAAGAAGTGCTGCTGTAAGCTACCACTTTACTTTGGCGTCAGCTGTGTCTCAACAGGGGTATTGAGAAGCTTTCGGGCTTGCCCGAGCTTTCGGGCTTGCGGCGCGAAGTTGCCTGATTGACAGAGCTCGTTCTCTCATGTCTCCATGTTCCTGCCACAATGACACAGTAGACTGTTTCAGATCTGCCTGGAGCTTTGCTAGACGGCGTGTTTGGGGTGCAAAGGGTATCATTCTGTCCCGGCTCCTCAGCCCAGGCCCCAGTCCATACAGCTTGAGGGGGCTGTAGGGTATAGGGGCCACTAGACGGCCTGACGGCTACACACTGAATCCAAGACCCTCAACCCAGGGTTTAGAATCCCAAACCCAGGCCCATCAAGCACGGTCGAGCCGGGATGATGGGTCCCGGGGCTTAGCATCGATTTCGAGTTGAAGGTCCCGGGTCAACGGATTTGGAGAATGTGGGATTTCGGGTTTAGGGTTCAAGGCTGCTGCTTTGTGTTTTCAGTCTGTGGCCTCAGTCATTTGGGCACTGCGGGGTTTCGCGGCTTGCAGGGTTTCAAGGATTCGGGGTTGTGGGCTTCATTTTCGTTGGCTTGGTATCGCAACACCCTGACATCCTACACTCTAACCTAGACTCCAAAGTTTTCTGAAGCCTTTCTAAACCCTTAGACCCCAAGCCTTGAACTGTATTGGGGTTGGGGAGAAGGCTGTGCGTCCGAGGTCGACACCTGGACCCAAAAAGCCCAGTCACTTCTACAGTACGTAGGTTACTTACTGCCTCTTCATGCCCGCTATGCAAGTAGATGGGCTGATAGGGTCGAGTAAGGGGTGTACAGTTCCGGGTTCTGGATCTAGCATTGAACATTGTGACTGTTCACAGGTCGGTTCTGGTTATTCGATCAGGATGCGTATTTCAAGGATCATGGGACTGTTTAAACATGGTTTCAAGTACTTGATTCGGGTTACGACATTTGCCAGCGCACAGCTTCGCGATGCAGCTGTCCTTTCGGGTCTGGAACCGGGCTGCTTGGGGTTTGGTGTCTGGGAGTCGAGGATTTCAGGGTTTCAGCTGGAAGGGTGTGCATTAGGGTAGCTTAGTTCTGCAACCCTAAACCCTGAACGAATCTGGTTCATGTCAAGGCATCCGAAGCCTTGCAGGGCACTGGACTCCGTTTTGGCACTCCTGCACTTTCGTGCTTTCAGCAAGCGGAGCCCTTTAGGCGGAGCCGCATGATTTAGCCTAAGCCCCGAGCCTCCCTAAACCGTGAAGTGTTAAAACCCTATGAACCAACAATCCGATACTCAGAGTCGCCAAAACCCCAAGCCTCATAGACCCTAAAACCCCAAAGTCTTATGACGCTTGAAGCCGTTTGGACGGACGAATGTTGGGAATCCATAACAAAAATCCTCTCTCCGAGGCAAAAACTCGCAGTTCGTGCCTTTGAAGTGAGCATTCGAAAGGGGACCAGAGAGGCGGCAGAGGACAAAAGTGTTGAGGGGGCGTTTGTTCTGCAAAGGTTTTAGGTTTTGGGACTTTTCGGGGCTTTCAGTCAGGATTTTGGGTGGTTTTAGGTGCTCGAGGGACTCTAGGGTTTAACTGGTTCCTGGACTTTTTGCTTTTTTCCGCGAGGTTTGCGCGAGGGTTTTGGCGTGAACCGAATAGTAAGTAGTGCCGGGTGGATAGCGTTAGAGGTGAGGCGGTACGTACCGCGGACTTCCTTCAGGTCAAACCCATAGCCTAAACCCAAAAAGCTCAACGCCCTCCTTAACCCGGAATCCGAAACCCAAAGCCCGCAACCCAAAGCCCCAAACTCAAGCCCTTAAGCCTCAACCACGCACGATATCCCGCACACACCGGAAAGTCTGCACGCTCAGCCCCAAGTCCACAAGGCAGACCGAAACCCAAATCCACAACTTGAAACCCTCGGTGTCTAGGACAAATGCAGAAGCCTGAAAAAAGTCTCATATTAGGCCTCAGTGGCCTTCGTATGAGGTTTGGGTTTAGGGACCTACTTTCCTGAGGCTGGCTGAGATCTCTTCAAGCATCGGGTCTTAGATCCCCATCATGAAGCTCTAACCGAAAACTCATGATCTTAAAGCCTGCGGAGAGTCCCAAACCCACAAAATCGCTCGTCTGAGAAGCAGTACTAGGTGGCACTTGGGTATTTCTTGATTTCTCTTCTGGTCCTATAGAGGTCCCCAGTCATGAATTCTTTCTAGGGGGTCCTTACCGTATCGCTTGTGTGTTTGTGGTATCCTTAATTCTATCCCTTATACTATCCTGCATAGTGTCCTTGAAAGTATCGAATTAGAGTCAGGGTTTTGTTGTGGTAACTTTAGCAAGACCCCTAGGATACCCTTAATATAGCTATTATATACCCTTAATATAGCTATAATATACCCATTATATAGCCCATTATAGGGTAGGAGAAGCTCTTTTGGCGCAATGGCGGCTTTTGGCGCTAGGGGAGCTCGGGGTTCCCATCCTGTTTTGGGGGGCCTTGGTTCTCGACGGCGTTTGGCATTCCTGTTTTGGGGGGTTTAGGATTTATAGGGTTTAGGGTTTAGGGTTTAGGATTTAGGGTTTGTGAGGTTTAGAAAGTTTGGAATTAAGAAAAGCATTCCGGGATTGAGGGGTTTGAGGTCTGGCATTCATTGCGGGGTTCCAAGTCGGAGATTGAGGGGATCAAGGATTGGGATTTTCGGGCTTGGAGGTTAGACATCTGATTTGGGCCGTGCTTTGAAAGACTGCAGCGGGAACGACTCTGATGCAAGCGTGTGTTCTTCTCGGGTTGATTCCGGGTATCCTGCCTGCGCTTTCGGTCCTTCGGGGTACGTTCTCTGTACATCGCGGACCCAGCCAAGCCAAAGCTAGAAGGGTGTAGAACTGAAGTTCGGGGTTCGGGATTGAGGATCGAGGGTGTCAGAGCCCACAAGTGCTCGAAATTTTCCAGGAATCTCCGCTTCCCCCCCAACCTGAAAAAAGATAATCAGACACTAGACTCCTAAACACAGTCCCGAAACCGTACATCCCGATTCGGTTCCCACGTCGCGAGCCCTCACTGCATAAGTTCCAACACAAACCCTAAACTTAAACCGGCCTAAACCTCAATGCCATGGTCCGCCGCTACGCCAGCAACTTTCCCAGCGGAAGCAGGGAGGCGATCGCGTCTGCAACCTCAAGTGGTGTGGCTTGGTAGTCTAGAGGTGTCGTTTTACTCTCCCTTTTTGGGTTCAGGCTTCCTTGCAAAGCAACCAACCCCGAAGAGGGCACCATTATAATGATAGACATGGTTAACGAGCCCCCGAACCCTAAACGCTACACCCTGACAGTGATAGATATGGTTACTGGGCCCCTAAACCCTAAACCCTTGTAATTTATAATGATAGATATGGTTGTTGGTGTTATCAAGGCAGCGATGGTCGTCTCGCTCTGAGCCTCATATCCGGCGATCCTTTGCTAACGCTGACTACGGTGGGAAGAGATGCAACCTTCCAGGACCTTAAGCGGAGGCTGCTTGGTTCTTCTTAAAGGATTGAACTTGAGTTGCCAAAATACAGAACCCTAAGAAGTTTTCCAAACAAATCCCTATTCAGTTCTTGTCCTGTCTGTTGGGTTTGGGGTTTAGGGATTTACTTTGAGTTATCAGAATGAAGAAACACTAAAATTTGCCATACTTTCCCTTCCTATTACGGTAACCTACATTGGATTCCTGAATCGGAGCCCAGGCTTCTGAGAGAGCTGAACGCAGAAGACAGACACTTGAACTTTGTCCGCGATGCTGTGGCTGTTGGCCTGGATGAGCAGATAGGAGATCTGAGTGGGGTCGTTTTGCAGCAGCAGGAAGTGCAACGGAGTGAAGATGGGTTCAGCTTGCTGCCGTACCAACGCAGTGCTGTGGAGTATACCCTCCAGCGTTCTGGCCGCGTGCTCCTGGGCCACGAGATGGGGCTCGGCAAGACCGTCATCGCTTTGGCGGTTTGTGCAAACTACAGGCAGGATTGGCCTGTTTTGGTCGTGGCACCCCCGGTGCTGCTCGAACAGTGGCGCGATGAGATTCAGCGATGGTTGCCAGACATTCCGGCAGAGGGCATTCAAGTCGTTCGCAAAGTGATGCACATGAAGAACAAGCAGAAAGTGCCAGTGGAGATCAAACCGACAGCGAAATTTGTTTTGGTGTCTTACGGCCTCGTCGTTGGACAGATGCAGCGCAAGGGTGTTGCAAAAGGTGTGGGCGGTGGTCAAAGCAATGGGCATCTACGCGTCGCAGCGAACGGCCAGCCGTACCGCACGGTGATCATCGACGAGGCCCACGCGCTCAAGGATTTCAAGACGCAGCGAACAAAGACCTTGATTCCTATCCTGCACAGAGCTACGCGTGCGATCCTGATGACGGGCACACCGCTTGCGAATGCGTCGGCCGGCGATATCCTCCCACTCATGGCTGCTGTTATCGGCGACTGCATTCGTTTGCCACCTGTGGACGAGTGGTGCGCGCATTTCTGTGCCGAGAACAGGCCATTTAACACAGGATGGAGGACAATCAGTCGTTGGATTGGCGTGACTAGGATGCCCCGTAATACCTTTATTCTATAGGTAAACCCCGTAAGCCCCCAAAATGGTGTCCCTTTTAATCCTAGGTTACTGGGAAGCCTAGGTGAGCAAAGAGCATGAGGAAACGCTCTCCGAGCTGTTGCGGCTCTTCATGGTGCGTCGGACGAAGGAAGAAGTGCTTGCTGAGTTACCCCCAAAAAGGCGCTTGAAGGTGCGCCTCGAGCTGACCTCATCAGAGATGGGGCCCGTCACCAAGCAGCAGCAAGCTATTGCAGCTTTCGAAAACGCCGCCAAAGAAAGGCAGGAAGGCGATGAGATCGACAGTCTGCCCAGCCACGAGATCATGAAGATTTTCAAGCTGCTGGCAGAAGCAAAGCAGGGCGCAGTCTGTGATTGGTTGCACACCTCGTTTTTTGATGAGCAGGCAGGGGTGAAGACCAAGGTGTTGATCTTCGCTCACCACAAGTGCGTCCATGAGAAGTTGGCGGAATTTTTCAAGAAGCAGCTCGGCGAGAGCAGCTGTGGCGAGTCGTGGGTCCACATCACGGGCGAAACGAGTCCAAGCGCACGAAGCAAGCAGCTGGAGATGTTCAAGTCAGCTCAGCGCTGTCGCTTCGCTGTTCTGGCACTGACAGCATGTGGCACGGGGCTGAATCTTGACATTGCTGCTGGGTTCTTGTTAACAAGGGGTTTGGTTTAAGACACCATAGTAAAGAAACCATATCATGTACTATGGTAACTTAAGTCATATTCCTTAATGAGCACCCAGGCTGACACGTGCATCTTCGCCGAGTTGTGTTGGACACCCAGCGCGCTCAACCAAGCAGAGTCGAGGATACACAGGATGGGGCAGCAAGCCAGCCGAGTGCTCGTGTACTATTTGGTTGCTGGTGGTCGTGGTTCACCTGACGAGATTATGTTTAATGCCCTGGCAACAAAGTCTGAGACCGTCAGCAGGGTTGTCGACCATGAGCTGGATCATCCCTCTACGCTGCGAGACTCGCAGCTGCTGACTCCAAAGCGCAAGAGGCGCAGCAGCCACGTAGACGAGGTCGGAGAGACGCCAGAATCAAAGCCGAAGCGTCCGGCTCGCAGGCAGCCGGAGACAGCGCCCGAAAACAACTGGGGCTTTGTCCGACTGTCTCTTGCAGAGCTGTTAGGTCTATTCTGAGTGAGTATCTCAGTGAGTTTTGCAGTGTCTGCCAAGTTGGTAACTAGAATCCTGCTCACCTCCGCACATGCAGTCCAACTGCAAGCTTTGTGAACATTCAACCTTAGCCTCTGAGCCTGTAAGAAGGACCTGCTTGCGCAAGTAATGTAGGGGCTTAAAGGATTACCAACACTATGTTGGGGGGTTCCTTATTACAAGTATAGCAAAATATACCCCAAAACCCGAAAACGTGGGAAGACTTTTCGAACAGACTTCAAGTCCGACTCACCCCAAAACCCTATTCTAATTAATAAGGTTGAGGCTCCTAGATTGGCACTGTCAGTCCTGGAATTAGGGATACGTAGGCAAGCCGTCGGCGCCTTTCGTGATTCGGCAGACCAACACCGATAAAACATATCAGAAACTATCAAGATTTTTTGGGGCTTGCAGCCTCATCGTTTGGATGTTGGGGCTCAGGGTTTAGAGTTTGGGGTTCTCCCAAACGCTATAAGCCCCGAAAGCCCTAAGCAGGTGTTTCTTGGTTTCAAGTCCAATGCGCCTCCGGAATAAGGCAGGGGCATAAAAATTGTAGGATACTTGGAGGATCATGGGACTTACTAAAGTATAAGTAAGGCTATACGTCCTTAATTGGGGGTTCTAAAAAAGCAGGTATAAGTATGGCCACCTTACTTATGACCCTAGTTACGAATTCCTGTGATCTGTTTAAGAACAGAATCTCCAGAGGCCCTGCATCTGAAGTTTTCTGGAGGTGTTGAACATTGAAACCTGCACCCCACGCTTACACACTGAGCATCAGCTCATAGACTACAAGCAAAAAGGCCCGCAGAGGGAGGCTTAGCATTCGATGTTGGATTTTAGACCCCCCACGATGAGAAGTAAGAGGCCTTAGAAGCCCTTAAAGAGCCGTCGGGTTTCTAATCTTGTTATCAGGCTCATTGCTGCAATAAGAGGCCAGCCGTAACATCGCAATCTAGCCCCACTACGGCTCCAGTTACTACGGCTCCAGTTACTCAAGTAGCAGCTAAGCCTATAAACCTTAAACCATATTTAAGCAACTGGAGCCCAAGGAAGGTTACTGGGGTACTGGCCATTGTCACCCAGACCTGTTCAGAGCTTAGGGTTTAGGATTTGGGAGTTTAAGGTCTGAAGGCTTAAGCGGACTGCAGGGGCTCAGGGTGTAGGGTTAACGGGTTAAGGGATTATGGCTTTTCAGTCCTTGAACCTCGAAAATAGAAAAGGCCTTGTTCCTGAAGTGTGTTTCCACGGCCAACCTCGTGAAAAGTGAGAGTGTTCTGTTGTAAGGACTTGACGAAAAATGATCCGGCCGATCAGAAGCAGAATGCCTTACCTGAAAAGGTGCTGTGTAAGCTACCACTTTACTTTTGCCTCAGATGTGTCTCAACAGGGGTTTTTAGAAGCTTTCGGGCCTGCTCGAGCTTTCGGGCTTGAGGGGCGAGGTTGCCTGATTGACAAAGCTCGTTTTTCATGTTTCCATGTTTCTGCCACAATGACACAGTAGACTGTTTCAGATCTGCCTGAAGCTTTACTAAACGTCGTGTTTGGGATGCGAAGGGTATCACTCTGTCCCGGCTCCTCAGCCCAGGCCCCAGTCCCCAATCCATTCAAGCTCCGCAGCCTCGCTCCGACATGCAGCTTGAGGGGGCTTCAGGAACTTTAGGTTCAGCGGAGCCGCATGATTTAGCCGAAGCACTGAGCCTACTCCCTAAAACCCCAAAGTCTTATGACGCTTGAAACCGTTTGGACGGCCGAATGTTGGGAATCTATAAAAATTCCTCTCTCCGAGGCAGAAACTCACAGTTCGTGCCTCTGAAGTGAGCGAAGCATTCGAAAGGGGAGCGTTTGAAAGGGGACCAGGGAGGCGGCAGAAGACAAAAGCTTTGAGGGGACTTTTTTTCCACAGAGGTTTTTGGGTTTGGGGGCCTTGGCATCTTGGGGCTTCTGGGGTTTTCAGGGCTTCAGGATTTTGGGCTCTAGGGGCTCCAATTAGGGTTTAACTGGTTCCTGGATTTAGTGCTTTTCCCGGAGGTTTGCGCATGAGGCCTCGGGTTTGGGCGTGAACTGAACAGTAGTGCCGGGTGGATAGGAGGTAGTGTGGACTCCATAGCCTGAAGCAACCCAAAGCTCAAAACCCTCCTTAACCCGGAATCCGAAACCCAAAGCCCGCAACCCAAAGCCCCAAACTCAAGCCCTTAAGCCTCAACCACGCACGATATCTCGCTGTAGAATCATGATGCCGCCTATGTAAAGGAAAGCTCTTGCGAAACCGGGAACCAGAGTTGTATGTAAAGTTTGCAGCTCAGCACCGGTGTACTGGCCATTCGTGCTCCAGGCTGACAAGAGAGCTCAAGGCGAGCGATCCATGCGCATGTCAGCATAGGGAGTACAGAGTGCTTAAACAAAGCATGCCAAAGAATGGCAAGCGAACATAAGCAGACACGCGCTGTTGTGACGCAAAAGTTAGAGCCTCTCCGATTCATGGCTTGTGGTGCAGCTTCTGCATAAACCCCTGGCCTTGAGGTGATATTCTTTGTGTTCTTGAAGAACCTTTAGGTTATGAGTGCCCAAGCTACCGAGCGCATTTCTGCGGCTCCTTCTACAAGTACGTATGGGGCAATGAGGGATGGAGATGCCATACTTAATGGAGTGACTCCTGCAGTGGCAACGGCAAGTTCGACGAGTGGAGCTGGGAATGGGGAAGGTTTGGGAAATCCCAACCTTCTGGACCCAGCACCGACTATGGCGACTCAGCCAGTTTCGGAATCTACTACGTCAACAGAGCTGAGACCGGACGTGGCCGAACCTCCTTACCAGGAACCGGATCGGAGCGCGAACGTTATAACTGCGGAAGTTAGAGGAAGCCCAATGACACCGGATAGACCGATCCCGGTGCTCCCACCTCAAACTCCTCAAGGGCATCAAACATCGGTGAGAGTGCAAGAGTTTTACTCGGCAGAGTCTACTACGTCTGTGAATGATGAGAGAAATGTGAGGTGGTTGGCCAGATTTACGGAGTTCATGCGAACGGCTGCCCACCGGAGTGCGAGTGGACTGGATCGTATGATGGACAATCTCGGCATGCATGGCGCCCCGACGTCGCAGCAGCAGAATGTGAACTTTCTGACCGGAAGACCTCGTGGTGGACAGATGAATTTCTCACCTCCAGAGGAGCTACCTGCACCGTCTGGTTCCATGGCAATGCGCCCTCCAGCTTCGTGGACTATGGCACAGACTCACAGTGAACAACCTCTTTTTTCACAGACTCAAGTTGCACAGATGAGACAATCGCAGAGGGAGTTTCCCCTCTTATACGGCCAGGCCTCAGAGGTGGGCTCGGACCACTCTTCGCGGCTACAGGCTGAAGTTCAGCGTCAGATGGAAGAGTATGCTACGAGATACCAAGACGAACTTCGAGCCTTGCATGGAGAAGTTCAACAGCTACGACAAGAAAGGCTGGAATGGGAACAGCGAGCGAGGGGTCAGCTACATGGGAATGGAAGCCGTGAAGGGCAGTTACCAGGCAATGGGATTGGTTTTCCGAGAGAACTACCTCAAGGTGTTATCCCCCAACCTAGTGCTCCGGAACAGCTTCCAGGAAATCCACGCGGACCTCAAGGTGTTATTCCCCAACCTAGTGCTCCAGGACAGCTTCAAGGAAATCCATGCGGACCTCAAGGGAGTCTTCATCCATGTGGGGATGGGTATGGGCACAGCGTACCACCAAGTGTTCCAGGATCGCTTCCAGGAAATCCATGCGGACCTCAAGGGAGTCTTCACCTACGTGGGGATGCCAGTGGTCATAGCGTACCGGGGGGTGATCCAGGACAGCTTCGAGGAAATTCCGGAGGACCTCAAGGGAGTCTTCATCTACGTGGGGATGGGTATGGTCATAGCGTAGGACTTAGTGCTCCGGGACAGCTTCAAGGAAATCCAGGCGGACCTCAAGGGTGTCTTCAAGGTCAGGGCGGTCAGTCTAGCCAAACAGAAGGGCATGGGATCCAGGATCGTCGTGAGGCAAGTAGTGATGGAGCAACCAAGACTTCAGGTCCCATGGGTGGTCATTCAGGAGTTGGTCCGACGTCATCTACTACCTCTGGTCTTCCTACAGAAGAGGCGAAAAGGGCAAGCGATACTCCGAGTCAATGGTTAGGAGCTACTCCGAGTCCAGATCCTATGTCACTGTTGGCAGGTGGAATAGCGCAGCTCCAAGCGGCAATGCTGACCCAGATGAAGGACAAGGATAAGCCGAAGGAAGAGGACAAAAGCCCGGAGGCGGTGAAGCCGGGGTCAACGTCGCTGCCGGCTTTGGCGGAGGTTCATCCCTCTACGAGCTCGGTAGACATCATGGACTGGCTCGAGGTGATCTCTACAACGATGCAGGACCTTTCGGACGGCAGTGCGGAATGGTGGTCGAGAGTGAGGGCCCTTGCGGATGAATCGTACAAGACTTGGACTCAAGCGTCGCCAGTGGAGAAGTTGAGCATTCCTCCTCCCAAGGACCTAGAGCTGGAAAGCGGAAAATGGAGCCGAGTGAACTCACGTGGGGCTTCCATGATCATGTTGGCACTTCCAGAAGCTGTTCGTCAAGAGATGGCCCAGAGGAGGCCAATCGGATCAGTGTCCTCCATCGTCTTTCGCCTCCTCACGATTTACCAGCCAGGAGGCCAGCAGGAGAAAGTGATGATCTTGCAGAACCTCCAGCAGCCGGAGCCAGAGATGACAGCCAAACAGGCTGTGAAATCCCTTCGGACGTGGGCGAGATGGCTGCGGAGATGCAGGGAGCTTGGTGTTTCAGCACCAGATCCAAGCCTCCTTACGCGAGGCCTGTCGACAATCACCAAGAATGTCTTGGACAAGGACGCAGAAGCAAGCTTCCGTACTTCCCTTGTTCGCAGTCACCTTTCTGTTGATACGCGACCCTCTTATGAGTCTGTCGAGAAGTACTACCACCACCTTTTGGCGGAATGTGAAACGATAGCTGT